TTCTGTTGTATGCGTCCAAGCTGGACACACGATAAAGATTCCTACAAACTGAACCACCACACAGCACATGCAGTGTCAGTTGATTTTTCCGCTTCTGCACCTCTTTTTCAAGTACTTCCCTGCTCTCTGCCATCAAGCTTATCATCCACATAATGGGGAGTCCATGGCGGTGCTTTTTGAAGCCCTCCGTTACTGCGTCCATCATTGTAATGAAAAGCAAGAGAGAGAGAAAGCGCCGAACCTTGATGAACTCCGACTTTGATGCGGAACACTTTTGAGCGACCGGCTGCTGTCTGAACATGGCTGTTAGCTTCGTAATAGATCATTTTATCCCATTTGATATATTTTTCCGGGACCATGTGTTTTCGTAGCGCCTACCATATAACACTATGAGGTACTTTGACGTATGTTTTTTCTAGGTCCAGGAAAACCGCAAGCAACCTCTTCTTTTCTCTATATTTTTTGAACACTAGGAGGTGTGAACCCCTCATACAGCCGCTCCGACTTGGTGACAGCTCTATGATTTTTCGAGGTCTTGTCTCGAGCACTCTTTCGAAGATTTTCAGAGTGTGACTCATCAGCCGGATTGTTTGGTATGTTGTGCAGTCTGCGACATCACGTTTGTTCCTCCATATTGGGATCGTTGTACTGGTGGACCAACTCGAGGCTTCTTCTAAGCTTTGACTTAATTGAGGAGACTCGAGAGCCAAGAGACACCGCAGCTGCCCACACTCTCTCCAGAACTTGCTGGGGATATCATGGTTCTTGCCACTCGTTGCCTTGGTTAATGCAATACAGAGATTCTCTTCTGTGATGGACGGCACTGGTCCTCAACAGGATTACCTGGAGCGATACTGTTAAAAGTGGACTTCGTGGATGCTATTTCTTGAATGTATGTCGGCCATCTTTCCAAGATGACGTGGGGTCTTTTCAAAGTTCTTCCAGGTCTGTCTTTAATCTGGTAGAAGTGCTCCATATCTTTTGTGGAATTTTCTCTCCTTCTCCTGATTCCGTATACTTCTCGTCCTCCATCCCGGTTTCCAACTTCATGTAAAGCTCTTCGATGCAAGCCTGCTTAGCTTTCTTCACACAAACTTTTGCCTATGCTTTGCCTACAGGCATTTCTGGCGATGCTCTTCCGCTTTCGATTATGACATAGTTTTTATGCACATCTCGTCTTTTATCACTGCCTGTACTTCATCATTCCACCACAAGGCCTCTACCATTCTTGATCGCTCTGGCTTTGTGCAACCGAGAGCATTGCTCGCCATTTGATGGACATTGCTTTTCAGGGCTCTGGCCTTTATTGTTATGCGTAGGGTTGCTGCCAGCCGTCCCTGGCCAAAGCGTTATCTTTTGATTTCATTCTATGCGCTATATGTTTGCACTAACTTTTCCTTCGACTATCAACTGGCACTTTGAAGTCGGGAAGAGGCTTACGTTGAGGTATGCAACTTTTACCTGGAATATCTGCAGTCTCTTACATTCTTGGGCTCCTTTTGCCCTAGCGCGTAGAGGTCTATTTGTGTCCTTAGGTCCTCATTTGTATACTTTATGATATTTCTTTCTGATGCAGCATTTGTTCCCAGATCCTAAGCTGAAGCGTACTCGTGAATGCGCTTGCCTCTTCATTGCATGCCTATCCATGGTTCCCGTGTTACTTTCCTGCACTCTCTTTCTTCGGTGTGTCCGTAAAATCTCCTCCAAGTAGGAGTATTTCGTTGTGGTACTGGTCTTATATGATCATCGGCTTTTGCCAGAGGGCATCCTTTTTTTCTTCTCTGCTCCTTCAGCTTGCGGTACGTAGGCCGCAACCGCCCGAAGAATCCTTTTCCCAGCATCGGCCATAAGGCCCGGCCCATAAGTCCGTCGTTCACTCGTTCAACTATTGCGATACTCAGAACAGAAACAGCTACACCATTTTATTGCTGCTTG